TGGGGGCTGAGGGTGGGGTGAAAAAATAAAAAATTGAAGTTGAAAATATTTTTTAAAAATTAAGCTTTAAATTTATTTTTTCAAAAAAAAATTGTAATTTGAAGTTGGAGTAGAGTTTTGAAAATGTTTTCCTTAATTTTTTAAGGAAAGTCATTTTCCTTAAATTTGAGGAAAAATGAGTTGATTTGGAAAATATTTTCCAAAATTTTTAACCCAACCAAACATGAGAAAATTGGAAAATATTTTTCGGAAAATGTTTTCCTTCATACCAAACACACCCTAATTAGCCTCACTTAGAGAGGTGCACTCAATCATCATCGCACGATATTATATGATACTTCAAGTGTGGATTCACACATCTATGTTTAAATATTTTATAAAAAATATACTACTACTATATATGATTTCAGGAAGGAAGCATGAATTCACGTGAACCCAATGACCCCTCCTGAATACGTCTCTTGATATTTACCCTTCAATATAGATAACAGGCGAACAACCACAAATGAATATTAATGGCCCAACGAGACCGCACATGCATGAGATTATCCCATGACTAAAACATGTGATAGACAAACTTTAGTTGTCGACATAATTCATTTAGATATTTAAATTTAAATATGTACCTATAGGATATTCGTTCTTACTCAGAGGTAACGAGTTTATATCCGAATATGTCAATATAATTTATTTAGACATTTAGACTTTCGGATATATCACTGGACTTCCTGATACATCAATAAACATCTAGATACATAGGAGAGAGATGTATTAGAGAGGGGAGAACACATCCAGATACATAAGGGAGGGATGTATCTGAGAGGGGATAGGACATCCAGATACATACGGGAGCGATGTATCCGAGAGGGACAGATGTATCTGAGAGGGAAGGGATGTATCAGAGAGGGAGATAGGGATGTATCAGCGAGAGGGAAGTGATGTATCCAAGATGAATTTTTGAAATCTTTTCAAATGAAGGAAATTTTAGAAATTATGATAAAATAAAATGTGTATTTAGGTAATTTTTCCTAATTAGAATACATTTTCATGCCTTTTTCGTACTTGGGTCTCGAATTCCTTTGTGTATTTTGTTTATGATTAGGAGGCAGCTATTGGTATACTATAGGTCTAGGTTTTAAATTGTAAAAATTTTGCTCCATTTGTTTATTTTTAAAAATAAATAAATTACACTCTTGTTATTTTTATTTTTAAAAAAACTTTACAAACTTGTTTATCATTTCTAAAAAAATAAAATTGTAAAGTTAAAATGAGAATTTTTTTAATTAATTCTCTTTTGATTTTATAAATTGACAAAAAAGTTAAAATAACTATATTTATAATGTGATCAACTAATATTGAATGAATGACCAACATGAGTTATGGTGTAGTTCTGAGACTAGTCCATCTTTAAGCAGAGGTCTCGAGTTTATGTCCGGATATGGAGAAAGTCTTATTAGAAATACTACCGTCAATGAACATTGCAGTGCATAATTCAGATTTAGTCCCAAATTTTCCGTTCTTATCATCAACTCTAGGTACAGTTGCAGTATTGCAGGCCAACAATGGATATGTTCTAATGTGCCGACGGGACCATTAGAGACTAGCCATAACTAAATTAGAGTAATATATTGTAAACAACTATGTAGTTTAATGTTGAAATCTACAAGTGTCTATATATATATATATATATATATTTTCTAGAGTCTAAATAATTAAAAATTTAAAATTATAGGTATAAAATTATATTTTATCTATCCAAACCACTTAATTAGAGAGGCATTACCTATTTTAGAATGGAAAATAAATAAAAGATTCAAACTTTTAGGGTGTGTTTGGTATGAAGGAAAATGTTTTCCAAGAAAATATTTTCCTGGAAAACAAGTAGATTTTTGACTTATTTTCTCATGTTTGGTTGGTGAGTAGAAAATATTTTCCGGAAAAGATTTTTTGGTGTTTGATTTATGAATGAAAAATATTTTTGAAAAATATCTTTTATTTTTACTAGAGTAGAAAATAATTTTTGAAATTGAGTTGAGGGTAGGGGTGGGGTGAAAAATTTTTAATTTGAAATTGTAAAATAATTTTTAAAACAAACTATAATTTACTTTTTTTGGGGAAGGGGAGGGGGGGTAGTAGGGGAATGGAAAAAATAAAAAATTGAAGTTGAAAATATTTTTTTAAAAATAAGCTTTAAATTATTTTTTCAAAAAAGAAATTGTAATTTGAAGTTGAAGGAGAGTTTTGGAAAATGTTTTCCTTAATTTTTTAAGGAAAGTCATTTTCCTTAAATTTGAGGAAAATGAGTTGATTTGGAAAATATTTTTCAAAACTTTTAACCCAACCAAACATGAGAAAATTGAAAAATATTTTCCTTCAAACCAAACACACCGTAATTAGCCTCACTTAGAGAGGTGCACTCAATCATCATCGCATGATATTATATGATACTTCAAGTGTGGGTTCACACATTTATGTTTAAATATTTTATAAAAAAATATACTCTACTATATATGATTTTAAGAAGGAAGCATAGATTCACATGAACCCAATGACCCCATCCAGAATACGTCTCTTGATATTCACCCTTCAATATAGACAACAGGCGAACAACCACAAATGAATATTAATGGCCCAACGAGACCGCACATGCATGAGATTATCCCATGACTAAAACATGTGACCGACAAACTTTAGTTGTCGACAAAATTCATTTAGATATTTAAATTTAAATATGTACCTATTGAATATTCATTCTTAATCATACGTCTCGAGTTTATGTTTGGATATGTTGACATAATTAACATTTAGACTTTCGGATACATCACTGGACTTCCTGATACATCAATAAGCATCTAGATACATAGGGAAGAAATGTATTAGAGAGGGGATAAAACATCCAGATACATAGGGGAGGGGTGTATCTAAGAGGAGATAGGACATCCAGATACATACGGGAGCGATGTA